GCAGGAAGAATCACTGGTTGCCCTGTGCTTTATTGTTAAAATCCCGGAAAAGGACAGGCAAGACCATCAGTGACCCTCTCACCCTGATCATTACATTTTTAAGCACTGCCTTCCCAGAAGTAATTTAGAGCAATCAATGCAAAAACAACCAGGTACAAAAATAACCTTCACGAGAAATTTAAATACACTTGACAAAAAATTTTTTTTTGTATTATGGAAAACACTTTTGACTTCTGCAGCTGCGTCCAGCACTCTATTGATTTATTGCTGATTTGGGGAGTATTATATTATATTATTCGGAATTCAGTCCAATTTGGGATATTTAATTACAGTTTGTTTACAGTTGTTTCAGACCAACATTCCCCCTAACTGGATGCCAAAAGCAGTGTGCCTTCATTTGTGAAAATATTTTAGTGATGCTTATGAGAGTCCTGCCCAAAGAAACCCCTCAGAAAATGAACATGGTGTGCTAGATCGTAAATGAGAACTGTATGTGTTATGAGTACAGCTATTTAATTTGGCCAACTTTTTATACTATTAAAAAAGTGACTTCTTCTTAAAAAAAAATCGACAGTACCTTGATTATTGAACACTGTGATTAAACTATACTAAAAAGAGAAGTCTCTTTTGCACTCTTTCTTTTCATTGTTGTTGGGTCTCGTCAACGTTATGTGTTGTGCTAGCCTTTCCTCTGTTTGGATTTACCTTCTGTTGATTTAATAAAGACTGCCTATCTTCATCATCATGTTCGTGTGTGTTTATCAACACAGTAGTGTGACTTACACATTATCCTCCTAATCACCTGTTTGAGGACTGGCTGTCATTTTAAACTGCCATCCTCTCTGGATTGAGTAGTTATCCAGTCAATCAAACAGTCGATTTTCTCCATCTGTGATGGCACCACATTTTGAGCCTCAGGTAAAAAGGTTCCAATATGTTCCTTTATCAACATCTAATGGATTTGGAAAATTATGGCATAAAGCTAACAAAGACTTCACCTTTTAATAATTGAGACATTTATTGATCTGCTGTAGTTGAACTGTAATTTGAATGCTCATTCAAAAAGCAGACTACAATGTGTTGCGAATATTGTGTTATAAATGTCACATATATAAATGTTAATGCTATATATAAATATAAATGCTATATATGTGACATTTTACACAAATTGGATACAAATTAATGTCCCATAAATTAAGAGTCATAAATTCTATGGAGATGTTATATGAACTTTTAACTATAAAATTAACGTAACATTCTATTTTGTTCAATTAAATTTCAGTAATTCATTGAAAAATATTCTTACTCATTTTAATTAATTTTATAAAAAATATTATTTGCCTGTATCCCACATACATGCTCAAAAATATTTAGGTCTAAATTAAAAATTTATGTATTTGAATTGCATATTGTCAGGGATTCATCACAGTCACTGCAGTCACCAGCCAGGATAATCACCCGATCACAGTCACCTGAGTTCTAATCACCCGCACCTGCTGTCACCAATCAAGCCACTCTACAAATACACACACATCACAGTCACTCACTGTCCGGTCTACCGTTCACTCCTATGGACTGTTCTGGACTCTCTATATGATATTCTCCTAGAAAGACTTACCTTCTGGTTCTCCCGCGATCCTCCAACGACTCCTTGGAAGCTGTTCCATGATCTCCCACGAAACCGGCATCAGACACTCACCCTCAGAACTCCGATAAGAACCCTGGAATCCTTCACTCTGTTGACACTCTCCTGCCTTAACCTAACCCGTTCCACTCATTCACATCTTGTATCAATAAACCATCCTGTCTTTCACTTTCCCGTTGTGTCTGGCCTTGCTTTATGACAGAAGACCGGACCAATACAAATACCTCCATGGATCCTCGACCTCCCACACCCGCAGAAGTCCTGGAGGAGCTGGTAAACGCCCTCCGGGCTTCCCTGCTTCCTCTGACAACCCCCAGTCTGCCTCTGTCAGTCCTATGGCCATGCCTGCTTCATACACGGGTGATGCAGCTGAGTGTGGCGGCTTCCTCCTGCAAGTGGCCTTTTCCATCGAGATGCAGCCACAGAGATTTTCCACCGAATGCACTAAGGTAGCATTCTTGATATCACTTCTTCATGGAAGAGCACTGTTGTGGGCTAAGGCCACATGGAACGCTAATAGTGCCATAATTCATATGATGCTTTCACTAACCATTTCAAAGAAGTCTTTGGCCACACTGCAGGAGTGCTTTCGGTGTCCGACCAGTTACTGCGGCTGCGCCAAGGCACGGCATCCATTCACGATTACAGTGAAAATATTTTAGTGATGCTTATGAGAGTCCTGCCCAAAGAAACCCCTCAGAAAATGAACATGGTGTGCTAGATCGTAAATGAGAACTGTATGTGTTATGAGTACAGCTATTTAATTTGGCCAACTTTTTATACTATTAAAAAAGTGACTTCTTCTTAAAAAAAAATACCAGCAAGGATTGAATCCCCATGTACAAGCTCAAATGGCTATCTATGATGACTCCGTTGGACTGGAAAGCTTCATGCAAAAGGCCAACCGAATTTCCCAGCGTCTGTCCGCCTGCCACGCCACCGAAGCCGCCCACCAGTCTGTCATGCACGGCACGGGTTCCCCAGTACCAGAGCCGATGCAAGTGGACACCTCCCGGCTCACCCCGTTGGAACGTGCTCGCCGTCTTGCGGCCGGTCTGTCTATACTGCACGGCGGCGGATCATTACATCAGGACCTGCACAGTCAGACCCCCACGTCCTGCGGTGAGTACCCTCCAACTAGACCCTGTCATTTCCACGTTGTCAATGCTATCGGTACAACTACTCACCCCAGACCTTTCTGTTTCAGTCCCTGCCCTCGTCGACTGGGCTCCTCGGGCAATTTCATATCCAAGGACCTATTGAATCGTCTCCATCTGCCCGCACTGTCACCGCAACTGTCTCATGTCATTACCCACTCCGCTCTCACTCCGCTCAAGTTGCATCTACCCTCATCGAAAGCTCCGAACCTCGGGAGAAGGTCACGGTCCCATCTGATTACTTGGAGTTCCAGGATGTCTTCAGTAAGCAGGCAGCCACTCAGTTACCACCTCATCGGCGATGGG